CCGGAGTGACGTTAGTAGGTCAGCTTTGCCGATTGATTTCCCAAAGCCAAACTGGTTGGCAGACAGGAGGGTATTGCTGTTGAAATGGTTGATGAGCTGCTGGTTGACTATTCTTTCCATCACCTTGGATACTATACAGGGCAAGGAGTCTGGTCGATAATTACGGACATCGCCCTTGGCTTGTGGATGGGAACCACATTGGCTACCTTCCAGGCTGTAGGCTGGTAACCATGGGAGAGACAAGACGAGAACAGGCGCGACAACGGCTTTGAGAGCTCAGTCGCACACTCCTTTAGAACGCGGCAGGAAATGGAGTCTGGCCCGGACGCTTTGGATACTTCAAGACACCGGAGCTGCTTGAGCTCTGCTGATTCCCGGAAACGGATTTGACTCTGGGCGGCGTCAGTGCGTGGTGGGAAAGGCGGAAGTGTGTCTTCAGTGAGATCGTATGGGATGCTGGACTTCTCTGCGAAGAATGATGCGAACGTGGAGAATGATGCGGACGTGGAGAGTCGACGCCAGAGGGGTCGCTGCCCTCCTCGGGGATGTCCTCCAGGTCAGCGCTAGCTGCGGCGACCCGAGCACGATAATAATAATATTATAGCTATGCCGCCATGCTGCACGTGCGGAAAGGCCTCGACCTGTTCAGGCTGCAAATGCGACAAAGCTGGACGTCAATGTACCAACTGCTCCGCCAATCGCCATGGAACGTGTCGTAACTCCTGTCGCTCAACGTCGTCACAGAAGGCCGGCAGCGCTGCTGCCGCCTCTCATCTGGCTTTCTCTTCATCGTGCCCAGCACCCTCCGCCGTGAATACTCGAAATTCAAGAACTCGATCTTCGAATGTTCAAGGAGTATCTCAAATATCGGCCTCCTCTTCCTGCCACGATGGTCGCGGACACCCTTCTACCACGTCCTCACAACCCAGCGGTGCTGCCACGGAGACGTCTGTTTCATCCTCATGCCCCGCTGCGGCTTCTGGCTCAGGCACTCAAACTCCCCAGGTTCGAAACTCTCAAGAGAATTCTCAGCTGCCTTCCGGTACGCACAGCACTGGGGGTGCGCACGCCCTGGACTACTCTGCCATTTCATCCCAGGTCATTGACCTGCTTGCGAACTTGGACGCCTCTCAGCCACCTGAGCGACTCCCTGACGCTGCACCAGCCCTAAACTGCCAGCCGTTCACCTGGGCTTCCGTCCCATCATCGCAGTTTGAGCAAGCCCTGGAGCACGCGAGAGAAGTTGTCGTCAACTGGCGCCGCAACATTTTTGCAATACCATCTGGAAAAGCAGGCTGTGCGTTCGTGGAGGAGCAGGCTCGTCTCCTGCAACTCCTGTCCCCTGACACACCTCAGGAACGCATTGCTCTGAAAGCTGCTATGGTGTTTCCGCCGCTTCTCCTGCAGAAACCTTTCCGGACATCAAAGGCTGCTGATCATGTCCGCTGCTTGCAGCGTCGACTCCAACTATGGAAAGATGGTGATATCACTTCCCTGCTCCACGAGGGTCAGCAGATCCAAGACCACCTACCATCCGGTCCTCTCCAGCGGTCTGATGACGCAGCGGTAAAAGACTTTACCCGTCTCATGCTCGCGGGCAAAGTGAAAGCAGCAATTCGTTGCCTGCACACCTCAGGCAAGGGGGGCGTCCTTCCCTTGCAGGCTGACTGCGGTGGTGGCCAGTCCACCATAGATATTCTGAAAGCCAAACACCCATCACCGGACTTGGATGGCCCCTCATCCGATGTACTGCTACAGGGTCCGTGCCGCCCAACGCATCCCGTGCTGTTCGAACCGGTCAATGCTGCATTTGTCCGGGCAACCTCTCTTTCCCTGTCTGGTGCGGCAGGGGTGTCTGGGCTGGATGCAGATGCCTGGCGGAGGATGTGTTGTTCATTTGGAGGATCTTCCACGGGCCTATGCAACGCTGTAGCCATGCTGACGAAGCGCCTCGCCACCTCTCCTGTCGACTCGGGTGCTTTGGCGCCGCTGCTGGCTGGAAGGCTTGTGCCCCGGGATAAGAATCCTGGTGTGCGCCCGATCGGCATTGGGGAGACCCTCCGTCGCCTCATTGCCAAGGTGGTCCTCCGCATCACGCGTCAGGACATTGTTGAGGCCGCGGGGGCACTTCAAACCTGTGCTGGGCAGGAGGGGGGGGGGGCGGAGGCCGCTGCACATGCCCTGTGTCGCCACTTTGACAGCAGCAACACAGAGGGAGCACTCCTGGTCGATGCTACCAACGCGTTCAACTCCCTGAACCGTGCAGCTATGCTCAACAACATCCACCTACTATGTTCATCAATAGCAACAATTTCGAAAAACTTTTACCGCAGGACAGTACCTCTCCACGTCAGCGGTACGGTCATCTGGTCTGCTGAAGGCACCACGCAAGGCTGCCCACTAGCCATGCCCCTCTACGCTATTGCCATTACGCCACTCGTCACTTCCCTCGCCACCGCCCTTATGGACGACTCTCCAGCTGGCACGGTGCATGACCGCGAATCAACTGAGAGACCAGCCGGCGTCGGTGCGTCCGCTGCTCGACTGGACGCCTCGACCATCCAGCTATGGTATGCCGATGACGCGGGAGCCGCTGGCCTGCTGCAGCGCCTTCGCACCTGGTGGGACCAGATTTGTCAACTTGGCCCAGCATTTGGCTACTATCCAAACGCTGCCAAGACTTGGCTGGTTGTCAAGCCCGAGCATCTCGATGCTGCCAACGCTGCATTCGCCGACACCGATGTCCACATCACCACTGAGGGCCGCCCCTACCTGGGTGCTCCTCTGGGCTCGGAAGCCTTCAAGACAACATTTTGCAATGCTCGAGTGGAGGCTTGGGCATCTGAGATGCGTGAGCTGGCGAACGTGGCCGAGGCCGAGCCCCAAGCCGTGTATTCAGCACTGGTCTTTGGGTACCGTCACCGCTGGACATTCCTGATGCGCGTGTCGAGCTGTGCACCAGACGTCTTCGAGCCTCTCGAGTCCTCTCTTCGCTCCGTCTTGTTGGCAGCTCTATTGGGTGTGCCAGTCGTCCCTGCCCCTCTACGCAGCCTCCTTGCTCTGCCTGTGCGTCATGGTGGCCTTGCAGTGCTCAATCAAGTTGGGGCTGCCCCGCAACAGCGGACAGCATCTCTGTCCATCACGAGCAGTCTCCAGCAACTTATCGCGGACCAGTCCCCCCTCTACAGCGTAGACCCAGCGACCATTTGCGCCGCCAAGGCTGCTGCCAAGCAAGCCCAGTCTGTGACTACCAAGACCGTCCTGCAGACAGCTGGTCCAGAGGCCCTACCACCAATGCTTCTGGAGCACCTCCAGGCCAAGGGAACAGGTGCATGGCTGACCTGTCTTCCTGTTCGCGAGCATGGATACTCCCTCGACCGGCGGTCCTTCGTTGATGCCCTATGCATTCGGTATGGCCTCACCATCCACGATTCACCTACCGAGTGTCCATGCGGCCGGCCGTTCACCATCGACCACGCAATGATTTGCAAGTTGGGCGGCTATCCCATCCACCGGCACAACCATGTCCGCAACTACCTGGGCCAACTTCTCTCTCAAGTGTCTGAGGATGTGCAGCTGGAGCCACCGCTGCAACCGACGGTCCGCACGTTTGACCATGGTCCTGCCCTGCTCACTGCGGACGACGCCAGACCGGACATCAAGGCCAGGGGTTTTTGGTCGGTACAGACTGATGCATTTTTTGATGTAAGGGTGTTCTATCCCAACGCACAGTCGTACCGATCTCGCCCGCTGGCTGAGGTGTTCCAATGGCACGAGCGTCAGAAGCAGTCGGCATACGGTGCCCGGATCCGGGAAGTTGAGATCGTCCCCGATCGTCCTGTCTTCTGCTGGTGCCCTGGCGAAGGAGGCCACCCGGCTCCTGAAGCTGTTCGGAACGAAGCTCTCCACCAAGCTCTCGCAGCCTTATCCCCTCGTGATGGGAAAGCTGCGGACGGACCTGGCTTTCAGCCTTGTCCGCGACTCCGTCCTGATGGTTCGTGGGAGTCGCCGTGCATTCCGTGCACCTGGTCTGGCGGCGGATGTGGATGCTGTTTCTGTGGAGGCCCGCATTCCCGCCACTACGTGACGCTAAGTCCTCCTGGGGTTTGCCGCTCTCCGGTCCTCTTTCATCCCGTTCTCCCCTCTTTTTTTGGGGGGGGGGGGATTCTTTGTACTTCGTCTTTCTTGTTTTTCTTGTTCCTTTGTTTTTTTGTAGGACAGATTTTTGGTGTACTGATTTTGGTTGTTGTTGTGTCTGACTCTATTCCCAATATCTAATTCTGTGGTTTGTTTTCCAACTCATTGGGTTGTAGTTTCCATCAAGAGTTTGATTCCATCGTGAGTTTTGATTCTATTTGCTATTTTTCGTTCCATTTTTGAGCTCACATCTATCTGCTTTTTTGGTGTTATTGGCCCGGACAAGAGGCTTCTTTCCATATAATAAAAAAAATAATAATAATAATAACGTCGTATTGAACAGTACGCTGAGCGTATACGCAAATGCTGAGCTTGTAGCGTGACCAACGCGTGACCAACGCTACACTGGCACAACCAACAATACAACAATTTGGCATCGCAGTGGCTCAGGCGACTTGGCAAACTACATTCTGAGGTGACTTTCGTGCTGAAGAAAGCAAGATTCAAAATCCAAGTATTTTCGCACCGTGCCACAATGACGTCACACATACATTGGTATAGGGGCGTGACTAAAATTAAAATATCTCAAGAACGCTTTCTCGTAGAGACTTCGGACCAAGACCATTCGACTCAGCGCCCGAAACTCTACAGGATATCAAATTTTCATATTTCGTGGAGTTCCCCTTTAATTGACCTTCATCTGCCAGCCACATTATTTTTCTTTCCGTGAGTACACCCTGTACGAAAAAAACCTGGTAATGCTCTGTGTGATCTGTGGCGGTTACAACGTCACACAGTAGTGCCCTTACGTGTGCTGCACATATCAATCTTTTCAGTGTTTTCTGCGTGTTTTTGACTTTCAGCGACAATTCTATGTGAACGCACACTTCCAAGGGTTTATCCCAGACTGTGTGTCGCAAGGTCATGTCCTTTACTTTCAACTGACGTCCACAAGGCGCACTGTGAGGAGTCAAGCAGCAGAGTTTTCCAGGCACACTCACATTCTCACAGCACTAGTGCCAAGCATACCAAAGGGTAAGAACTTACTAAGAAGACACACTGTCTCAGGCACGTAGCTCGCATGGGGCACGGGGGCACGTGCACCCCCCCCCCCCCTAAATATTTCGACCTATATGTGGGTTCAGCATGCACGTTATGACCATGAATCGCATGCACCAGCTATCCTACACACATGTTATGCGACCGTGCACCCTTAAAAGAGGGGGGGGGGAGACCAGGTACGCCCCTGCTGTCTTGCTGTGGTGGGCATTTGCTGGGTGTTCAAATTTTATCTTTCTCTATCGTAAACCACTAGGGTCTAGCGGATAATGCCGGCATTATATTCGGCATTATACGACTATCCGAGCATCAGAACATTATGGATAGGGTCCAGCGGATAATGCCGGCATTATATTCGGCATTATACGACTATCCGAGTATCAGAGCATTATGGAGCATTAGAAAGGAACAAAACGAGCATTATGTTAGGTTTGAGCGGCATAACGAGTTTCATAGTAGATGATATCGGGAAATCCCAGGTTTTTGGCAACAATCGGCTACAATCATGATCATGAGATGTTGTCTGATAATTGGTTTTCGCCATGAAACTCTGAGTAACAACGAAGCAGCCTTATTTTACTCCTTTTGTGCACTTCTTGCGTACTACGCTCCAACCAGTCCAGGCGTTTGAGCACTATGCATTGTACCGGCGCATGATTTTGTGCTTGTGTAGGTACGTAACACCTTTATTTTTTTAACGCTACATAACTATTGCTACATAAAAACGTTATGATTGTAGCGATGTGGTCAGGTAAATGCATACAAGTCATTTGTGAAGCATGCCCAGCCGAGGCCGAGGCAGTTCAAGTGACACAAATCCGGAGAAAATATTTACGAGGTTTCTTTTACTTTTAGAATAATGGAAAGCTACGGAGGAGACATACGCGAAGTGAATATCAAACAGACGAAGACGAGTTTTCTAGTTGTGCGAGAGGCTTGGCGATAGCATCTCTAGCGATACTGAATAGACACTGATGCATTTTAGAATAATGGAGAGCTATGGAGGAGACATACGCGAAGTGCATATCAAACAGACGAAGAAGAGTTTTCTAGTTGTGCCAGAGGCTCTGGCGATAGCATCTCTAGCGATAAAGCAGTAGACACTGATGCATTGCTAAATTTGGACCAGGATGAAGGAGCGGCTATAAACAGAAAGAGCTCGTTCCGAAAGAACTGCCTTTGCTGAGTCCAGTTCAGGAGGCTCGAAAAGAACTAGAATTTCTCATGGACTCAGTACCAAGTCGATTGATCAGCAGCGCCTGTCATACTTTCCTGATGAAGCACGTACAGTTAGTTGTGGACGGTTGTAATGCCAGGCCTACAGTCAAATGCAATCAAAAAGGAGGAGTATTGTGTCAAGCCATACGTCTACACACCATCTCAAGGAGAAGATGAGAGCACAAGCAAGTTGAAGCAACGTATATAGAGTGGCAAAATAACTTCTGACCACGTGTTTTCCGGATTTCCGCAAATGGGAGGGCTCTACATCTGAGACCGGATCTCAGGAGCTGGCCTCACGTCTGATGTTTCAGATGAAGACATTATTCACAGAGTGGACGCAGTGACAGCTTGTTTGCAGGCAAGAATACTATTTGCCAAGATAAACTTCATCCCAACAATGAATGACTACCTGCAATAATGGTTTCATCTCTCACTACATGGATAATTAGGGTCGAGATTTGATACACCGACTATTCTGCCACAACCCTGCATCAAAGTTGAAATGCAGAGCAATCAATAGAGAAGCGATCATGTCTTATAGTGCCAAGAAGCGGTGGAGCTCGTGAGAGATAAGGTGGCAACTTCAGATGCAGATCGATGATATGCATAATTTCCTGGAAGTTTGACAATGTGCAGACTTTCTTCCATTTTTGTCCAAACTAAGAGCATTATATTCCTTGCTGAAGCATTATAATCAGCATTATAAAGAAGTTTATGGAGCATTATGGTAAGCATTATAAAATTATGAACATTTTCGGAGCATTATCGGCTGGACCCTACCTATTAGGCCTCGACCAAATATGCTAAAAAAAAGAGTATATTATTATGCTCGTCGCATACTAGGGAAAACGTCCATGATATGCCAAAGGCTTAGCAAGATATGCAAAAAGATATGCCAAAATATGCTCGACATAAGCAGAAAGTGTAGATCATTTCAGTAAATTACAACCTTGGAATATTCATTGGCTTCACGCCTATCATGCTTATGGTCCAAATTAAAACACATGAGGAATAGTATGGCTGGGGTGTGTCCCCAGCAACCGTTGCGATAGTGTTCATCCATATGGAAATGTAGCAAACGCCTCAACCATTCCAAATTTATCCATAAAAGGCATTTCTGAACGCATTTTGTCCATAATATGAATGTTTTGTCCTCATTATCTATAAAATATTTGAATTATATGCTGGCTTCATTCCAATATTCCCTTTGTCGCTCAATATGCCATATATGAACTGTCTCAAAAAAATATGCGGAAATATGCGCAAGCATATTTGGTCGAGGCCTACTACTCACCCGCCTGTGTGGATTCACAGGAAGTGTGAGTTACGAAGTCTGAAGAGAATGTTGAACAGTCTCTGCTGGGATAACGACTACACCAAAGCTGAGTGGTTAGAGCATCGCTAGCTACAAGCAAGTGTCCCTGGTTCGAGTCCTGGTGGTGAGAGTCAATTTTTTCTTCAGACTTTTCCCGTTTGTCTCTTTCCCTCAAACTAGTGAAGCAAATACAATAATTGTGAATTCATGTGCAAGTGTTTGTAACATTATCATCAAATTCTTCGGCATTGCCTGCACTCAGGGTGAAACGATTGAACTAAAGACGGCCAACGAAGAACTGGAGTAATACAAAATAATATCTTTCATTAATTGCTCTGCAGATGACATTGGCCGTAATGAGGAAGTGTTTGAAGTCACACTGGTTTGTCGAATGGTTCGCAAATCATGTCCGGCCATTGGCCACATCACGCTCAATACGGAGGACCAACAGGCAGGCCCTGGGTCGAAAAGCTCAGTTCCCACACGAGATCCGAACACTGCAACCAGTGGAGTAGGCACACGTGGAAGTGGTGCGTCACCAGGGGCAAGGAACGCATCATCCTGCTTCGGCGCCCTGCCCGGTGGAATGCATGCTGGAATATCTCAATGCAACATGGCCGTTGCTACAGGAGCTGATATCAATGTGAGCAACCATGGCGGTGATGACAATAACGATGGGAGCAGCTCGTCAGATTGTGATCCAACATGCCATCAGTGTGTTGCCACGGTAAGTTAGTGCGTAGACTTTTTAGTTTTTGTTTTTGTTGAATTCTTTATTCTCACGATGGCACCATTGTTGTTGTTGTTGTTGTTGTTGTTGTTGTTGTTGTTGTTGTTGTTGTTGTTGTTGTTGTTGTTGTTGTTGTTGTTTTTTAGCTACGAGACTACCATTGCTCTGGGGTTGGTGTTGTTGGTTTCCCAGTTTTCCTGTTCTTTTTGGTGCATTTCTTTTACTCTGCTCAAATCGGCAATGCAGATTTGGAGACGTGCATGCTGCAGGTTTGAGCTGTGAGGCTACTGCGACTGAGCTCAGCCTGTGACAACGCCTTGCGGCTTCCACTGCTGGAGCAATGAAAAAGAATTTTCGAGGGAAAGTCGTGCGTGGGGTGCAAGAAAATATTGTGACTGAGATCTTTTTGCAATGCAAGGTTAGGAGCTTAGAACTGCAGGTGTGATCCTATACATTACTAAATGCGTGTGTGTGTGCATGCATGTGTGTGTGTGTGTGTCTGTGTGTGCGTGTGCGCGCGCGTGTTACAAATTCTTCATCTGCACTGTCGAATTATCATCTGTCACCAGGTTCCCGTCGTGATCCCGGTCCAAGGTGGGATGACAAGTTCATCATCTTCGGCTGAAACTGACTCCGATGACAATGTGTGCAGATTAACAGGTGGATACGCAGTCAGCAAGCCCTGTGGCGTGCAAGCTTTGGGAAAGGTAGACTAATCATTATGATCATGTACTGCATTTATAAGGAAGTTTGGTTTCTCCCACACTGGAGAAACCAAACTTCCTTATATAATTTTCGCCGAGGTCGCCACCACTATTTGGTACTGTACCGCATTTCCCCAATTATAAGTCATATTCTGTGATACATCGCACCCCCATTTCCAGGCCTTTGTCGTGTAATTTTGTAGCGGGCTGCAGTCTCTCGGAGGCAAACTACAGCAAGGGTCTCAGTGAATACACTGTTGTTTATTAAAAACTGAACTGAACTGGAATGAAGGTAACTCTAACTCTAATTGAAATGTAACTTTAACTGGCATGAAGAGAATTGTGAGCAGAAGCTTTTATAGACAGACAGACTCCGTACGCTAACGTACGGGGATACGCTAAATATATGTTGGACTCAGTATAAAGTCCATGCACTATAATGATGTCCAACGCCCTATAGAGTCTATTGGTCCAAAATCCACTATACAGCGTCCAGGAGTCCACTCAATTTTGATCAGCTCCAACCAGCCGCGCAATCCCCTATAAGGAGTACACCTTTTCTAAAAGTCCCCTATTCAGGGTTCAGGAGTAGGGGTGCGCGGATTATGCTCGCACGCACCCGATATTATGCTTTCGGGCATTTCCCGCGGAACTTCGAAAGTATTCTCCCAAAACATCGAAAAAAATCTCCAGAATTCCCCCCCCAAAAAAGAACCCCAGCACGAACCGTGCCTTGCGCATGCTCTTTAGTGTGCAAAATGGACGGTCAGGCGCGTGATCACTGCATGCAGGATCCACACTACATGTACTAGATCTACATGACTGTACACAGCTACTATGTACTCAGGCTGGGTCCATGGATGCGCGCTTGTTCTCTGTTCTCTGGCTCTGGCAGGTCAAAATTGACAGAATTCCCCGAAAACTCTTCTGAAGGTCAATAGATCTCGCAAAAGATCGGTAGAATTCCCCTAAAATTCCCAAAATTTTCTCAACGATAGTATTCCCAAATTAATCCGGGAATGATCCGCGCACCCCTATTCAAGAGGCCAGTTTATCCAGTCCCACCATCCTGTGTGTAGTAAAAAAAGAGAACAAACACCTTTCCAATTTTGCTTGCCTCGTGGCAGCGCATTCCTTTCTTCACTGCAGCCATGGCTGCCAGTTCTGCTGTGCAGTTGCTGACAGTAATATTATGTCTCGAGGTAACCAAGGAGGAAAAGGAGACGTTCAAAATCAAATCTGGAAAGCGTCTTGTGGTTCTCTGAAGACGTTTCATCGGTGCGCGGGATGAAAGCAGAAATTGGAAAAGGCGAAAATTCAACACAGTTCAAATTTGACGAGTCAGATACACTGACACTCTCCTTCGTTCGACGCCGAAAGGATCCCCTGTTTGACTTGCCATGGCTGCCAGTTCTTCTGTGCAGTTGCTGACAGTAAGACGTTTGAACGGTTTCATCAGTTCGCGGGATGAAAGCAGAAAGCGGAGAACGAGAAAAGTTCAGCACAGTTCCAATCTGACGAGTCAGATACACTGGCACTCTCTTTCGTTCGACGCCACAAGGATACCCTGTTTGACTGGACAAGAGCTGCCTGTACCACCGTGTCAAACTGCTGTCCAACTGCATGGCAGGACAATGACTGAGGTAAGGAAGCTTTTACTCGTTTCGATTGGTCTGCTGTTCTATCGTTATGGTTGAATTTTTTTCCATTTTCAAGGAGCGTATCGCGTTTGTTTGAAGTTGTTTGAATGAATGCCCTAAAAGTAATCAACGACTTCGTAGTAGTTGCGTGACAATACTATCAGTCCTCAAGGACTGCAAGGACTTTGCATCAATTGTCTAGCTATCATCAATTTAATTTCATGAGAAATGTATTTTTGTCCTGTGATAATTATGTGAACTCCACGACACTTTTCCTCTAGTATGATGTCAAATTCAATGGGATCAACAAACGCAGTGCCAGTGTATTAGTAGTAGTAGGAGGATTGCTTGTATGCCGATGACAAGAAAATCTTCTCAAGATAATACTCGTATTCCATGAAGTAACCGTTTTTGATGTCACAAACATGACATTGTGTCAGTGAAATTGCCTCGTGACAACAAATCATTGCATTTTCATCTTGGGGAATACTGTTTGACTGACGGTAACGCTGTACAGATTGTTTAAATCATCTCATTTCAATTTAGTTGCAGTGAAGTGAAACACTGTGGAGCACACTACTCTTATGTTGATGTGTCTGTGCGTCTTGAGCGTGCAGAAACGATCTTATTCCTCGTATTACTAATAGATTATTGTCCCTACCATCACCTGTTCACAGGTCTTTGAGTGGATGGATTTTCATTGAGCATCACATTCGTTGAGAACTTGGTAGTTGTGTTCTTCCATGCATCATTACGGTAATAAGCGTATCCTTGTGCTATCTATTTGTTGCAGGTGTGCTGATCTTCAGAAACTTGCGGAACTGAATGCTGCTGAACATTTGCATGGCCATGACCAATGGTGAAGCTTGCTATTGCACTCTCAGCATGTGCTAGTATTATGCTGACTACTGCACTATGTTACTCTCTTACACTACTACATGTATATAAACGTGCGTGCACCCGTCCACGTATGCATTCGTTTCGTATAATTATTAAATAATTATTATTTTGTTATCCCTCTTTACTTTACGTGTAAATGGGTGGACGTTTGCATGGCTGTTGGAGTTGTGTGTGTATTGTGTCTCTACTCTTTTCTTGGTGTTTTCTTGGCGTTGTATAAGTTTGTGTGTGTGTGTGCGTGCGTGTGCGTGCACGCACCATGAGCATAAGCATGCTAACGCGAGTTAGCAGCCAGCCCAGCGAGCTGGCCCAACCTGCACGCATGCGGTGCTCTCACATTTGGGCAATTGTTGATTTTGCTCCTGAATTGTCCTCCCTGTTGCTTTGCTACCATCCTCCTCCTTCCTCCACCTTTTTTTTCTTAATTGGCCTCATTATGGCATTCGCTTCCATGTAATTGGGCTTGTAGCCCGTGTGTACTTGCGAATTCAAATAAAAATATACATACATACATGCGCGAGTCACGTGGGCACACGCCGTTCAAAATCCTGTACAATGTATCTTGCATGTCATTGCTGTTTAGACTTTCGAGCGTGCAACTTGCTGTGTACCCAAACAATTTCCTTTCGTTTAGACTTTCAAGCTTCCATTCTCGTGTCTCTACGCTTCAAATTCAGACTTAAATGACGCCTGTTGGAGCCTGAAACAATGTTGTCGTCTACAGTGGTACGTCGACTGTGGACGTTTAGCTTGCGCCATCATCAGGTTTCCTGAAGTACCTCCACGCTTCAAATTCCGATCCCAGCGACCCTTGTTTGTGCCTTGAAACAATGTCGTCGTCACCAACCGGCGTCCAGCCTCTCCGGATCTCCTCGCTCTACCTGGCTCCGCCGCCCGCCTACTACAGTCCATTTCAAAACTATAGACGCGTGGTGTTTTGCAAAATTCGATGGGATTTATTTAAATATTTTTAGTTTTTCTCCAGATTCCGTCTATGCATCGCTTCACAATTCTGGCTATATACCGTACTGGCAATATATATGGTCGCAGTGAGGCCATGAAGCGCTACATTGGCACATGTTTACGGCACGCAGGGCGTTACATGCAAAGTCGCACATCAGCCGTTACACAGGTTTCTATATTGCTGCAGTCCTTTTTTGCTATTGCCGCATCACTTTTTGCTATTGCCGCATCATTTCTTTGCTATTGCCGCATCATTTTTTGCAAACCGCAATGAAAAGATCGCCGCACCCCGCCGGACGCGCGTTACGAACGCAACGAAAATTTGTCGCATTAGCCTGGTCGCGCGTTACGCCACACCCCCCTGCGTTACGCGTTACGCGGCTACATATATTGCCAGTACGGTACTTTGTTTTCGCTACAATTGAAGTTTATTTTGAGATCAGTTTTTCTGGTTTTACATGTGATTTCTGTTTTGAAGGGTTTGACCAGTTTGTTTTAAGGGTTTGACCAGTTTGTTTCGGATTTTTGCTCCTGCTGAAACAGTGCTGCGCCCAGACCATCGCGGGTGCATTTTTGTACGGGTCCTGGTAGCCTCGCGGTTTCGATCCGTGATTTCCAGTATAAGTGTGCACGGTGTGGGGCATTCGAATCCCATCACGCCTCCTGCCTTCTTTTACTCTTCTTTTCTGCATATTTTGGATCTTGTTGGGTGAAATACAGTAAAGATGATAATTATATTTTCTCCTGCCTTTTTTTACTCTTCTTTTCTGCATGTTTTGGATCTTGTTGGGTGAAATGCAGTAAAGATGATAGTTATATTTTCTCTTTTTGATTTGATTTGAGCCTCCCTGTTCCCTTCGCCTGACACAACGAGTGACAGTGGTTTTACTCACGCCGTTTGCAAGGTGAGTTCGACGACGAGGATTTCGGACACTCAAGCGTCAATCAAAATCCAGCTCTTGTTCGAAGAAACAATGAACACGACTATCATATCTTTCTCGGCATCACTGAGATTCTTACGGGCTTTGGAAGCCATTACAGTCAGGCACTCAGAAAATGCAAACAAGAAGAAGATTCATTTGAGACTTTCATTTCTTTTGAGACTTTCCTCACATGCACACCTTTTCATTTCCGACTTTGAGTGTTTTGCATCTTTTGTATTTCCCGCGGCGACGAAGAAAAACCTGAAAAACACATCTGAAAACCAGAAAACACTCATCCAAAACTCACGGCTGTCGTGAGCTAAAGTACGTACGGCTCGTACGTATGAATTCACGCGTCCAGCTATAGTTTTGAAATGGACTGTAGTAATACTACGAAAGCAGCGACGGCCGCCACGCAGCACCATCACTGCAACAGCAGGAACGAGCCTGACGATCCTAATTCGTATCCAGAGAGGCGAGTTAATGGACTTTGATTTTCTGTTGGAAGTAACAACATTAGTTGTCCACTGGCGTCACCAACGCCACCCAGCTTCTCGTCGCTCTATTTGGATCCGTATCGCCGCTCGCCGCCAGTAGGCCGGACCCTACTGGGAGCCTGGTGCAGTGACGACCGCCATACGCACATGCAGCACCAACACAGGCAACAGCAGGTGAACCTGACTGTCCTATGCCCTTCTCGATCGTGTCCAGAGAGGTGAGTTCGTGGACTTCGATTTCTTGCTGCCCGATACTGAGTCAGTTGCAGTCAGTTCTAGTGCAGCTTCGGCGACGTTCCAACTCCGTAGCCCCTCATGTTGCTCTTCTGGCGCACTAGCATTTATTTGAATCCGAACCCAGAACTGTGCTTCGAAGGCTGCATGACGGTAGCACTGGAGTTGAGACCTGGACAGTGTTCATGAATGGTCTGTGTTCCACTGTCCCTCACCACGTTTCACGAGTGGCTGTCGACGTATTTGGCCACGATCGCTGCGGCCAATCGCCAGTTCTTGCCAGCAAGAAACTGGACGTTATTAATACTCAATCTGCGGACAACTGTTTCGTCCTTTGTTGACTCATCAGCGCAGCACAGAGGAAATGAGGCCGAACCTGATAGCAATGGAAAATAAAAATCTCCAAAGCCAGGTTATCAATATCAACTTGTGGCAACTGCGCTTCATGGCGTACTGGAACAGCACGACCCGCCTGCCAGTAGTGCAGCTCAGTGCACTGGCCAGCATTTCCGTGTGCATTTTGTCCCACTCACCAGTCCAGATCCGCATCATGTACCGCAATGGTATGCAACTACTGCGAGTAGAGCGCTTGCATATGTCAGCTCAGGCAGTGCTGCCAGCAGTGCAGCTCACTGCAACCTCCAGCATTTCCGTGCGCATTTTGTCCCACTCACCAGTCCAGATTGGCATCATGTACAGCAACTGTATGCCACCACTAGGAGTAGGGCGCTTGCAAGCGTCAGCTCAGGCAGTGCTGCCAAACGTGCCCACGTGATAAATAGGATATTGACCTCGACTTCGGTCTATAGGGGAAATATAGGCCTCGTAAAAGACCTCGGCGGACCTCGGTCTTTTACTCGGCCTATATTTCCCCTCTAGACCTCGTCTTGGTCAATATCCTATACATACTGTAGCAGGATATATTCGGGCGGGAATATTTTCGGACAAAGCCGAATTTCGACCTTTCGTACGGATTATATTTTCGTAGACGTGCTGCGTGATAAATGCACGTGTTCGCATGCAGTAGGCGAGTGCCAAGGCGCATTGCATGCGTGTTATATACGTTATGGCTAGCTGTGCTATGAACTGCACCGCGCCACTATGCGTACGCACACGTCCTGAACAGGAGCCAGTTCATGATGTACACCATGTATTGTGTACATAATATCACATGATCAAAAATTTTAGTGCGGAATTAATTTTAGTACAAAAGAGGCCGTGTACGAAATCGTACGAAAATAAATTCCGTCCGAGAATGTCCTACTATACAGTATGTATTTCTGGGATCTTTGTTTACTCTTTTGCACCCTGTCCAGGAGCTAATGCAGCACTGCATTCCAGACAACTACAAAGTGCTTGGCACGGCTGAGCAGATCACACACCTCTTCCAAACACTGATCAATGAGGAAGATTGCACAGTTGTGGTGAGAAAAAAGCATGATGCAAAGGAGGAGTCAACCTTGACGAATGCAAGCCAACTGGAGGATTCTACCCAATCCACTTCCTCCACTGCAAGCCAGTCCATTCTGGATTCGTGTTCTCAATCCCTCTGCACTACCAGCAATGTGGAGCACTGTTACCTGCCGGTTTCTAGAACGAAATCATCGCTGGATGATATCACCTTCAACCATGACAAGGAGGATAGGCGACATGCAGGTGAAGGTATCACTGCAGCTAGCTCAAACCCATTTGAGCCTAGTGACCCAGGTGCAGTACACCCCTTCATTGTCCTTACCAGTGTAAGTGCGCAATTGACAATGCGTTCACTTTTGTGTGCTTGTGTGTCCCAGGCACAAGGGAAGTATCAGAGCCGGTACTACGTGAATGCGATGGCATAATTTCACTATTCATATGCCATGTGACTGTTCTATGTATGGCAACTGACCACTTAAAAGCATATATTGAGTATGAGTGTAATATATGTAGCGTTTCTTCACCTTCGCTAGCTACACGTCTGTAGTGTCTCAGCTAGAGACGGTGTTCGGTTTATTTTATGATCGATTACATGGAGACTAGAAGAAGACCAACTACAATTGCAAGTAAATTATGTCAACAGAACAAGAACAAGGAGACACGTGTGTCAATACAAAAGAGCAGACATACTAAAATGATCTGCGCATGGTGTGACATCAATTATCAATACGATAATGATGATGTAAGAAATGTCCATGAGTGTATCATCAGCACATACGCTACATTTCTCCCCTACATGTATAGTAGGGTCGCAAACGCGTATGTACATTTAATACACAAAAGAACGTCAATGGATAAGCCGAGAGCACAGTAATTCAGTAACCACGCGAGCAACAGATTATCAGAGCATTGAGGAGAATGTTTTAATCTCTCAGGCGAGCTGGCAGAACTCGAGTTCTTGCCGGGTTACGACGGGGCTCAGTTGGAGCCTGTGCCGGTGGCGGCTGGGTCTGCTGCGCTGCAGTAGTTGCTGGTACTGTTGCTTGCACAGGTGGAGGTGTTGGAATAGCAGCGGCTTCAACACTGGGTGGTGGCGGAACACAAGTCGGCGAATGAGCAGCGGGAAAACACAAACTGTGATCAGGCTCTGCTGGTGCAGCGACGGACGGCAAAGGCGCTGCGCTCATTGGTACGAATGACTGCGGAGCGGAAACGACTGACCGGAGCTGTTCCACATGGCGCCTCCATTGCTGGTCTGGGCCTACTTCCACAGTATAGTGGCGGGAGCCGTGTACTGCTTGCACTGTGCCCTGAATCCACGGGTGTGGTGTATTGGTGAGGTAGTCACGCACCATGACTGTGTCATCCACCGCAAACGTGCGCTCACGGTTTGCTGACCTCGCACTACTCTTAGCTGCTTGGTTCTTGGCCACAGATGCCTGAACACTGGGCTGGACCAAAGACAACTTTGGGTGCGTAGCTCACGATGCATTAGCAAAGATGCTGGTATCGCATTCGTTGTTGCATGTGGTGCGGTGCGATGCGACAGCAGGTAGCGAGGCAAGAACTCGAGCGGTGCTGTGTCCGAATGGGACTTGAGTGGCTGCTTCATCGTACGCACCAATCGTCCGGGCAACCCATTAGTCGCTGGGTGGTACGGTCCTGAGAAGGTGTGCGTACTGCCGTTGGCCTCAGTGAAACGACGGAACTCATCGGATTTGAATTATCACTGACGATCTGGTCAGGCAAAACATGCTGGGCGAACACTTCCCTGAGACGGTGAACAGTGACTGGAGCAGTGGTGCTGTTCATTGCCAGAACTTCCGGCCACTTGCTGTGGTCATCCACCACGATCAGTCACATGTGCCCTTGGAACGGTCCTGCAAAATCAATGTGGAGGCAGTGCCATGGCTTGGACGGCCACTCCCACGGATGGAGTGGTGACTTTGGTGATGCTGCGTGGTGTGCCTGGCAGCCAGCACAGACCTTGCCAGTTGTCTCGATGTCAGCGTCCATGCCTGCCCACCAAACCAAGCTGCGGGCCAACGACTTCATACGAACCATGCCTGGATGGCCTGTGTGCAGTTCCTCGAGTACTCGCTTGCGTAGTAAGGGTGGGGACAACCTGGATTCCCCACATAAGACATATTTGGTGCAGTCCCAGCTCATTCTTGCGCCTCGCAAATGGCTGCATGTCACCGTCAGTTGGGGAGTGTGACCACCCGTCACGAACACCAGCTAGGACCTTGGCCAAGACTGGATCATGAGCCGTGTGGCGAGTGACTTCCACGGCTGTCACTGGAAGCGGATCAATCTGGGCCATGTTGAATACTTCTGCCCAGTCCAGGTTCTCCTCCTGCGTGTGCGGCAAGGGAAGTCGTGATAAGCCGTCAGCATTTCTATGATCACCTGACTTGCGATACTTGATTTCGTAACTCATACTGGCCAGGAATATGGCATACCGCTGTAGACGCGCTGTCGTCAGAGCTGGCAATCCTTTGCTCGGACTGAAAATGACTGTCAGAGGCTCGTGGTCTGTCAGCAGCACAAACGATCGTCCGAACAGATACGTGTGAAACTTACGGACTCCCCAGACGATAGAATGATAAGGCCTCCTTATCTATTTGGGCATATCGCTTCTCGGTCTCAATCAGCGAACGTGACGCGAAGGCAATCGGCCGTTCCGTACCGTCAAGCAGAACATGCGAGAGCACCACTCCCAGGCCGTAGGGTGATGCGTCAGTTGCCAACAGTACCGGCAGGTCGGGATCAAAATGCATGAGTACCTGATCCGAGGCGATAGCTGCCTTGATGGTCTTGAATGCTGCTGCACAGTCAGCTGTCCAATGCCAGGACTGACCCTTTCGGAGCAGGTGGTTGAGAGGCTACAGAGTCCGGGAGCAGTCCTTAAAGAAGCACTGGTACAGTCAGACCTCGCTTATCCGGTCCTCGTTTATCCGGATCCCTCGCCATCCGGAAGAATGTCCCCATGACGTCGAGACCTCAGGTCGGCTGAGGGCAAAAAGCCTCACCATCACTATGCTCCCACTATGCAATTTTTTGTCTTTGCCTGTGAGCTGTGATCATTGTAAAAAAAAATCGCTGGGTACCGATGTGCAGCATATGTTACGCATACAACATAGCCGGACCTCGCGATCCGCATACCGGTGCATGATTTTGTGTACTTGGTCCGACTTATTAAAATGTGCGCTTCGCTTAAACACTCAAGCCTATGTCCAAAGGAGCACCTGTACTAAAACATCGACCAAGAGACGATAGATAGATAACTACTGTGTCGTTTCTTGGCCTGGCCTTCTAGTTTTCATCTCTGCTGGTGTCTCAGGGCGCTTCTTCAAGTGCGTCAACCTGCAAAACGTCGACATTTTTTTCATCTCCTCCAAGCTACACTGCGCTTCCTTGATTTTTTCACTCCATAGGCATGATTTAGACGATCGACTTCGCCTCCTCCTCGTGCAGTACGACTGCCAGAATGGTGGCTGTAGATGTTTTCGCCTGACGCTCCCACGACACTTTCAAATGAGGCGAACAAGTAAACCACCACGCATAAAAAAATCACTTCTCATCACCGTGTGCCGCGCGCGTAGAACTACTGAGTCTGATCTGTGTGGGCATGACTGTCACACAGTCAGCTGCATCAGACCATGCGTGCTGTTCCCTGCCTGTTTCACGAATCCACTGGCCCCGGAGACTGGCGATCTTGTGACGCATCGCGATCGCGGCTCCGAGGAGTCGGCGAGGTCTCCGCACCATTCACGCACCGTATTCACCCTTTCTGCGCTTCACAGTCTTCAGTTTTCTAGCCAGGTTGTCTCCTGAAAGTCGACCTCAACTTCAAGGGCGGTTGTTTATATCGATCAACTTCTCGACGATCTCTTCTGTGATCTTGATTCGTCGGCCGCCACATCGTGAACGAATGCGAGAGAGATCAGCACAAACTGGATGGAGCGATGCAGGTGCTTTCTGCACGAGTTTCTGAATGACGCGTTTGCTGAACTTGATTCTTCCAAAGAAACAGCGACTGCAGCGATTTCAATCCGCCAGGAAGCACTCGAGAACGATCGCCCAGGGGTTTCTGGTACTCCGTGACAATTCCCTATCGCAGTGGGGTGTTGATTTCAGCACCAGGCCTTCTCTGTGTTGCGCGAGAAGCAACAGGAGTCCTCTGACGACAAAATTCGCACGCAAAATGCTCCAGTCGACTAGGATCCTGAGGCGCTGCCTACTTTGAGGTTGGAACCATTTCTTCTTCAACATCACAAATCGACAACTGAAGGATAGTGTTAGGTAGCTGGAAAGTTTGTTCGTCCTGAGTTTATTTGAATTTGTTTGGCTGACGTTCGAAGCGAAACGCACATTTTAATAAGTCGGACCAAGTACAAACTGGTTAAAATGTGTACAAAAAGCTTCGTCTTATCCGGTTGCATGTGGCTTGCAGAAGCTAGAATCAGGGAGTAAAGTCCTTGACCTGCTGGGTGCATGCGGACAGCACTCAGTTGCATGCACTTGTCATTTTTCTTGCTTGTTTTACATACTGTGCACGCTAGTTGTACTGCATAGGACCCATCTACATGTATGTACAATGTCACTGCTTTTGACATGCCACATGCATATACAGTATGTGTGTTCAGTTATCTGGTTCCCTCGCCTATCCGGACATTTTTGTGGAAAACAGATGTGTGCAGTTAAGCGAGGTCTGACTGTAGTAGCATACCATACCCAGAAAGCTGCGCAGCTGGGACACGATCTGTGGTGCTGGGGCCTCATTGATCGCCTTGATCTTGTCATAAGTCTTGCACAAACCATGGCGACTGACAATATGAACACAGTACTCTACTGCATCTGTGAAGAACGTGCACTTCGCTGGATTGACTCTCAGGCCATAGTCGGAGAGACGACCCAAGATGCTCTCCACGTTGTCCAAATGTTCATCGCCGTCGCGACCAGTGACGATGATGTCATCTAGCAGGCAGGCCTGATGTGGAACGCCATGCAGGGTGCGGTCGATGGCCTGCTGCCACAGCGCTGGTGCGGAAGCCACACCAAACCCAAGACGGTTGAGCTGATACAAGCCCTTGTGCGTTGCCAGTGTGAGAAGTGGCTTCAATTCCTCCTCCATTTCCATCTGGAGGTACGCTTGTTTCAGATCGATCTTGGTGAAGCGTTGTCCTCCAGCCAGAGTGGCGAACACCTCTTCTACACGTGGAAGAGGGTGTTGATCCACCTTCAGTTGCGGGTTCAATGTGGCCTTGAAATCGCCACAGAGCGCACTGAGCCTTTGGGCTTGATAACTGGCACAATTTGGGTT